TTAGAACCTTGATTTAGAAGCCTTATCTTCTTCTGTCTATTTTTGTACCACATCATCACAAGGACATAAGTAATTCTTTCTTTTGAGTATCATAACAACACGGACTGTGTCCCAATGGTTTTATCAGTGCACTGTCATCCCTTACTGGTATTTTAGATACTAGTTAATTATTACAGAAAAATGTAGTACTCTACCCAGTTCTGAAGGAGAAATATTATAATACTGTTATTTCAGTTTGCTAATGAAGGCATGATTCTAAGTCTTAATTAAGACTCTCACACCCATGGAAATTCACATTTCATTCTCAACATGAAGTTTCTATACTTCATATTGATATGGAATATGATTTATTTGTTATCATTTTCAAGCAGATGTCCATATGAAGATACTACAATTTCTTCAACACTAAGAAAGCTGTTCCTGAAAAACGAAAATCACTGTTCTCCTCCAGGGCCAATGAAGTGAGACACAATATGGTTAATCCAGGAAACATGCCAATGCACGCAATAAGATTTTAATGTAACAGAATGAAAGGCAATAATGTTCCAATGAAGACTGTACCTCCACTCTGCCATGTTGAACAGGAGATATCACTTCTAGCATCCTCATTTCAAGAAGGATGATATATATTAGAAAGTTCAGGGTTTAAAAGCAAACAAAACCCCCTCAAAGTTCTGGCAAAAAGCTAATTTTTGTCTTTGAAAACAGGAAGCAAAAAAAAAATTAACATAGAAGAAAAATTGTTGATAAATACTTACTGAGAAATTGTATTGGTATCTAGGTCAACACAGCTAACGTCTGGTGGAGGGTCATAGAGGTCAAAGTATCTTGAATCAATTCCCACTATGAAAGGGCACGGTGCACTCAACACATCTGCCAGTGCCAAGGGACAGAGAGGAATATATGGGCAAGGCCAGTGGAAGGGAAATATCATCTTTGAAAATATGCAGAGAAAAAAAACATAGGTTAAACATGGATAATAATAATACAGCCTATGCAGATATAAACCACACTTCACTAACTGCCACTTCAAAATTATTTAACATGGTAGACAATTATTACTGAAAACCTAGATACAGATTATTAAATAAAAAATGCACTCATTCCTCTAAAATGCCATGTGTTAATTTGTAGGGAATATATCAGACTGTATATAGAAGAGGTAGCAAAACAATGCATAGTAGAGAGGCAGGAAAATGAAATGCATTTAAAATTCTTCTGCAAGAGAGAATACAGTGCTATTTGGGAAAATCAGGAGCTCATATACAGTGCACTGTGATGACCAAACAACATGCTTATTTACAATATTTACACACAAAGAACCAACAACAGTTACTCTTTTTCCTCTGTCTTCATGGGATCATTAGCAACATGAATTTTTCTCTCTAATGATCTTTATTTTTATTCTTATTTTTAAGTAACCTTTAAGCCTGCTACCAATTTTAGATTTTATCTAAAAAAACATTTTTTTGCACTTACAGGTGTATGATTAAAAAAAAAGTGTTACTTACAGAGACTAATGCCTCTGTCACACTAGTAAGGACAGAAGGTCGCAGTGAATGGATGAGAATTTTGTGTTCTGTCACAGCGAATACAAGTAGAGTTACTGCATTTTCAGGTCCCAAATTCTGAAGTAGTGTAGAAAATTTGCCCCCACTGTTACAGAATATAAACACACTGGTGAGTTTCAAGGGACTATTAGAAAAAAAAAAAAGTTCAATAACAAATAGAAATCAAGGCATTAAAGTGGGATTTTAGAAGCATAAATCTGCAAATCTTTCTTTTAAAGAAGACTGTGAGGCAGACCACTTGGTCCACTTCACTGTTCAGTGAAGAATGGTTACTTCCCAATAGTAACCATAATTCCTTCAGACTCTTCAATCAGTCTAGACTATTTTCAGGACATGTGCATGATGATTTTTCATTTTGAGAAGCAATTTACAGGGAGACAACATGTGTTTCTTTAATCATTCTCCTGCACAGAGACAGGACAGTTAGGACAATCACAGAGCTCTTTCCATTACCTTGCAATACAAAAGCTGCGCTGTCTGGGGAGCCCAGGTACCAACTCCTACAAAGGGGATCTAACAATCTATGTTCTGCCTCAAGAACCACTCAAATTATTTGAAAAACCAGAGATATTGTTCATTAAGTATGTATCCTTTCAGGGCACAGGTCTAATCACATGAAATAAACTTCAGACACACTAGTTACAAAAGGCACCAGACAAGGTAAGTTAATTTGCACAATTACAACTCAAAGTATCAAATCTTTTCTGCAGTGTAAGTTGAATACTTTTCACAATTAAAGAGAAGATGGTACTACTTGCCTCAGTGGAAGGGGTGATGACACAGGTTGGCTAAGAATCAGGTTATCATGTGGAGATAGCTGGAGAAAGATTTTAAAATACATTCTTTTTATTATGAACTTTGGAAATATTTATTAGAAATTACACAACTATAATAAAGAACACCTAAAAAATAAAAATTAAACTAAGCCAAACCTTATATAACCCACTTGTACAGCATGGTAATAAGTGGTGTGCAATGCTATGCACCAATATCTTTTAGTAAAACCCAGGCAAAGCATGCTCTCCCTTTCCCAGGCAGAACTGAATACATTGCATATTCATAAGGAGGAATTTAAACTAGCTAATACTGCAAAAAATTGCATATATTAATGGCTGAAAAAATGAAGCCTTCTGTATTTTAAAGGAAGTGAGAACCCATAGCTGATACACAGTTTTCAGGGGCCATGGAGTGATTCCTTTTGGATTTAGGGGAAAAGCGATAGATAAAACATAGGAAGGGGAGAGATGGTAGATCATAATATAAAGTAGTATTTTATATGAAAGATGTGAGAATTAGGCTTTTAGCTGGTAGAAAACAGCCCAGCTTTGATAGAATCTTTAAAATTTGCATTTGCTGAAGATCCAAGACAAAGATGTTATTAATTCACATTTCTTTCTTACAGTGATATGACATCAAGAGAAATCATTCATATATTCAGCATGAATAGGAGGATTCAAATGAGTACAGGAATACAGATCCACTATCAATTTATCAAAGCTCAACTGACATTTTCAGCCATAGTAAATCCAAGGTAACAACATACCAGTTAGCTTAATCCTCCCTGCTAAGTGGTCATGCATTTTCTGTCTGTTGTATAAAAACACACATACAAGCAGCAGCAGTAATTCAGTAAAGTCACAATAACAATTAAGCTGCAAGTTCAGACAACTTCTAGTAACACTTCATTTCTGAGTATGTTTCACTTTAGACTGTGACCAGACAATAGAAGTTATAAGATTAGATAAATAGATGAATTTGTAATACAAATGTTGAAGCACTAAGTCACCTAACCCTGTGCCTGGACAGACACATAAAACCTATGACAATAACGAGAGTCTACGCAGTACTGCTGCCTTCTGTATGTCACCTAACAGAGCTTTTGAAGGCTAATGCCACATTTAGCTTCAATGACAAACGAGGATGGCCACACCACTCTACATGCCAGATGTGTCTTCAAGTAAGTCACCTTGTGACAACCATCACCATTATCTTGTTCAGTGAAAGAATTCAAAGAAGTCATTTTTTCAGTCTGAGGTAACGTTCATAAAGTACCCTCAGGAAGGAAGCATCAGCCTAATGTCCTATGACTTTTGTGTTTCAGCAAAACCAGATAAACACAATCAAGCATCTACTCAAAGAGCATGTCTCCCTTCAGCAGAAGGAGCACTTACTGCCCCAATTCTTCAGAGGGAGAAACATATTGCTCGCTGTGCTCTTGAAGTTTGCAGGTTGTAAATGCATCATTAGAACAGGAACATGTATGTAGTGAGAGGATGGAGGACATGAAGAATGGAGTCTAGCAGATTGCAGATCAGAAACAACCTATCAACCATGGCAGCTGGAAACTGGCAATCAGGAACATTCCTGAATGTTCTACTAATGGCTATAATTTCTTTGGAACTTCAAAGTCAGACATATGCCATGTTCTCTCTCACTTGTAACAGATGCTAAGAAGGATCTAAGAATGGGTTACAAAGCCAGACTGGCATACATGCAGTTACTAAAATATACCAGGTCTCATTTTCAGAAAGCATACAGGCACTTGCAAGACATTCTACAGCAACACATATTCAGAAAGATTTGCTATACTAATTATTTAGCAAAAGACTACCATGCTTTAAATTAAAAAGCTTCAGAAAAATATTACTATTTCTTCAATGAAATGGAATTGTATTTTCCAGAATACAGGCGTTTCCTTCACTATTTTTGGGAAAACATCCTGGATACAATCACCAGTGATTTCACTCAGTGTAGGATCAAACACAAAAGACCCTGAAAGCAGCTTGAAGGAAATACTTATTCAGACCTCAACTACCACTGTCTACTTTAAAAGCAGTGTGATCTCCATCTGCACTGTCAGCTACTAAAGTTGTAGTAACTTGATGCATAAAGCATTTTGAAAATAAGGTGTAGCAGACATAATTTCACATCACTTACACCTAGGTCCTCAGACTTTGTTTCGGGATGTAGACCCGTGCATACTTTGACAGAGTTCCCTACAAATGCAGACTAAAAAAATTAAATATTTTTTCTCTAAACTCACTTACAGTTCTCTGTAGATGTGTGTTCAATGTTCCCTAACACAAATATTTTATTGAAGATGAATACCAAAAAAAACCAAACCAACCAAACCCAAGATGTAAAAATACTGGGTTTTGAATGGAACTTTAAAATTATAATAAAAGCAACAGAAATGTCAGATAGAGTTTCAGTGTAACTGTTCTTCAACTCCTTTCAGCAACAGTAATAAAAGTCATTCCTTTAGAATATCCAAGTACACTAAGGAGGGTCTTTAATATTCAACACATTCTATGAAGACATAACCCAACATTGTGTTTACTCTGAAAGACTTCACTAGCATATGGGCTACTACATTAAGACAGAAAACTGCACAGGGCTTTCCATTATTTTATTTCACAAAAGTAGTAACAGAGAGTAACATCATTTTGTAACAACTTGTTCAAAAACCACAGGATTGGTAGAATAAATACAACCAGAATAGAACTGTTTTTTCTCAGCAATAAAATGTTAACGTGTCTCTACCTGTTTTGCCTCTTAGGGGAGAAAAAAGAATAAAAATTACTTAAGAAGTCTTCGAGAGAGGGATTTCCTGTCTCCTACCAACAGTGACATGAGTGAAATCTCACATAACAGGTAACCTAATCGGAGCAGTTACACCACTTCACTCACACACAGTAAAATACTCGAGGTCTTGCAGGGAGGACAGAATAAGGGTTGTATTTGATAAAGCACGCCTCTGTTGTAATGTGCGTGGCTCTTGCAGTTTTCAGTAAGAGCTATCCATTATGTACAGGACAGCACGAAGCCCTCTGGGAAATGGGTAATCAGGAATATGCTCTTCACATCTGGTTTTAATTTTAGTTATTTATTTTACACTCAGCCTTCATACAGTAGCAAGAAGAAAACGGTTCAAAAGCTGTTGCAAAAAAAAAATCAAACCAGATGCTGACTTTGAGTAGTTTTTCATTAATTTTCATACACTCTGGACAAAAAAAAAAAATTTTCTAAGCTCACTAAGCAGTATCTTGTAGTATCTCAATAAAGTCCTTAATTAAACCAGAAACAACAGTGAGAAATCTGTAAAAATTAAGTGTATGAATTTAGGAAAAAAAATTCTGAACAAAAAAATTACATTTTCCATTTACTAACCTGTTCAACAGCTGTTCTGCCTTCACTTATGACACAGCTATTAAGATCTTTACACTTACCTGAACTAGAATTCTTGGCCTCTGAGGGGATGGAAAAGGAACTTTATGCATGAAATGGGAAATGTGTCTAGAGGAAAAGAAAAATACTGATTTAGTAGAAATTATAAATTTGAACTGCTTTACCTCAAGACAAAATTATTGCCAGTAAAAGAAGTTATTATATAAAGTGGCACATACTTAATCAGAAGACAGAGAGAAAAAAAAAAACAACCCCCAAATCCTACAGGGATATTCAGTGATCTTGAAAACCTGTTTTTCTACTAGTGACAATCAAAATGGCAGGCCAGGTTACCTTCCAGACTACAAGCTTGGTTTGTGAGACTGAAAAATTACAAGGAGCTTCTTTTTATAAAAAAATATTTTTTTTTTAAAAAAGTGAAGTAGAAATATTGATGTTTGAGGATCACAACACCATTTTACAATCATGCTTCTGAGACTGGCTTGAAATAGCTCTATACCTCAGAGACTAGCACTGATTCTTTGCAAAAAAATATTCACAGCTTAGTATCGAGGAGATTCATTAAGTTAATCCATTTTCTTCCCTTCCAAATACAAAATGTTATGTTAAGATTTCTGATGAAAGAAGTTTTCCCATATACCACAAGTACAAAAAAAATGTTTTTAAAATTTGAGTAAGTTCTGAGTTCTGTAAATCGATTAAACTTACAAAAGTTCTGGAAGTGCAAGAGTTCCGCATAATACAACTCAACTCCTCAACTGACCTTCCTTCTGTCAGCATCAATGTCTGTGCAGCCACGTGGCAATGAGAACAGGAAAGGAATCAGGCTGACAATGGGTTTGGGGATTGGCCTTTATTACCAGGGTATGAAGATGGTGACAGAAACATGGAATGAACAGCAAACATCAAGGCAAAGGCCTGCTGCTTGCAGTGGCAGGGCTGACTGAAAGATGTTCAAACACACATGTATGGCACAACCTTCAGCATCATTAAAATAGCTGAAGAAACTAGGCCAGATACTGTATTAACTTCAGGCAAGACAGTGTAGTTATATTTAAATTATCCACAGTAAACTGACCAGTTTACAAGTCAGAGAACTCGGGATAAGCAAATAAATCTGTAAAATCAAAATTAATAAAACATTTATTATATTTACTTCTCATTTCATTCATTCCCAAAACCCAAAATGCAAAAATAGTTCTCAGCTGAAAAAAAATAAAAATACTTTCATTCTTGGAAGTTTACACTATCAAAATTTTATAACAAGTATAGCAGATACAAAGTGGAATAATGAAATGGATAAACAATCACAGAAAATGCTTAATCCACAAAGTTAAAGTCTCATAAAACTTAATATTGAAGTTTAATCAAAAAAAGACTGATATGTAGTAAAATAAAAAAGCAAACACTGCATTTGAAATCTGATGCATCAAAAAGTAACATTACCCTAGAAATATTAAATGGTATTACATATAAATTATAGATATCAACTACTTCTTGGATGTTAAGGATTTCCTCTGCATTTTAAAATATGAAATCCTTTATGTAAAAAGGAAATTAAGTTTGCTTATCACAAACAGAGGAGGATTACTAGTGCAAATAAATTCAATCTGCTTTATTATCGCTCATTAGACAATAAATAGGCATTTGAAAAAATGCGAAACTACGTATTTCATTCTCCTAACTTCATGCATGAAATATTAAGAAAGGATTTATAATCTTGCTTCTCCTAATCACTATGCTAAAAGGTGCAAAGCTAATTAAAAAAGGCTTTCAGAGATACCTTTGCAGGCACTTAAATCACAAATAAAAATCTAGGCTTTTTCAGGAAGTAGGTAAAGATACATTTAATCAATGGAGAAAAGTGCTTAATCTAGTGTAACCATTATATTTAATGTTTGATGACTAAAGTCAAAAGGATACTACAGGAAACTTAGAAGTAATAAAAAAAGAAAAGAAAGGAAAAAAGAGCTCTCATCAACTGAAATGTCTTATGAATTTTTGAAATTACTTACTTCTCAATGGGTAGGACATGTGGACCAGAAATGGAGTAACGATACAGAAAGGTAAGAAACTTCTTGAAAGCATCAAAGAAAGGCCAGTGAGAGAGCAGACAGATGCACTTATTTGTTTGAACTGTTCTGCATGTGTCTGACTTTCCCTCAACAGCAGCTGCTAATCCCAGTTGAGATTTTTGTTTCTCTGTGAGATTCTCTTCAGGATACAGTTCATAAAACTGAATAGCAGCACCATATACCTGCAAACAACATCGTTGATTTGAAGTTAATAAATCTGCTTCAATCTTCAAAGCAACCTAACAAACTCCAAACATGCAAGGAAAATCAAGTCTATGTTACTGTTTGAAAAGTTACTTTAAGGCACCAGCTTTTGAAGCAACCTATTCTAGAATATTCTTATGTCTATGAAAATCCAGACTATCTATTATTTATTTAAAACACTTAATGCCATATGAGAATGAGTAATTTACGAAATTATTTAAGTGAGAGAAAAATAATTATTATACAGAGTCCAATTATAGTCAACTGCTCCTACAATTGTCTTTAAAGCTATTTTAGGAATCCTTTACAAGCAACTCAAAGGCAGTGTTTCTCTGACATCCAATTTACTTTTTAGAACAAGTATATACATGCAAGGTTGTTTCCATGCCTGCAATAAAAATAGTATACTCGCATGTGTATGCAGTCAGAATTTTTACAGCTCTGTAGTTTCAAAGGCTAACATGGCTGGAAAGCAAAGGAGTGCAGGTTTATATGATCAACAGCCCAGCAGTGAAACAAATGCAAGTCACTCTTTAAATCAGTATCTGAATTAAGTCCAAACAAATAGATTCAAGTTTGTCTATGAAAATATGTTTTGTCATAATTCTGAACAGAAACAACCACATTTTTTAACTTAAATTATTAACAACTTTTTTTTTTTTTAAAGCTTTCAAAATACCTTTTCTGCAGAAGCTCCAGTTAGTACAAATGTAGAAAAAACTGGGAGAGGGTATTTACTATTAGATGGCCAACATTCAATTGTTGCACCCATAGGTAGACAAAAAAGAGGCACAGATTCTGGTAATGGGAATGATTCATAATCTTCTTCAGGATATCTGCATATTAAACCTATGAAGGGAATTTGAAAAGAAGCAGTTATGTAAGGAAGAGCAGAAACATATTTGTAATAGCTCATTCCACAAAAAAATGCCCAGAAAAATCATATGTGAGCGTACACTGACTTCAGAAGGTCAGCAGAGGAAAGTTGTAATTAATCAGGCACAGCGTACAGCTGGAAAGGGGCAGCAGCTTCCAAGGTCTAAGGAGAAATCACCTGACTAAAACATTGGACCGAAGTTCTACTTACTATTCTAGGAACTATTCACAACTAATTTATCTTCTTCTGATTGCAGGTTGTTGGCATTTGAGCTATTACTACAATACTTCACACTCATCACTAGTATAATTAAAGATTTAAAATTTAGTTAAAACAATGATAACCTGAATAATTGAGAAATAAGAATGATATTTTCAATTATGAAAGCAATTAATTCTTACCACCAAAAGTTTCCTGGAAAATCTGATAATGTGTTAGACATTAGATATTATTTTTCTAATAACAATAGAATTGAACCAATTCATTATGCTGACCCACCTCAGGTGAGGATTCAGCTAATGTGCTATCAGGCTAATGTGTTTAGACTTAATTTTAAACATAGATATAAAACACAAAGTTCTGAAGCAGAGGCTCTTAACATACAGGTCTTCACATACATCATACAGCTGTAGCAATCTATCCTTTCTTATTGCCAACCAGGGGGACTCCAAACTGAGAATGAATATTGCGTGAAGTGGTTTAGGATTTCTCTGCATTAGGGAATGCAATCACTACACATTATTTTCTAATATACAGTGAAATATTAATAAGCAATAAAAATGGGTAAAGGCAATGGGCTTTTTCCACCCCAGGAAGCAAAATTTTGTGCAAGCTATTACCAGATGTGGAATCTTTTACAATTTTTATTTATTTACAAATTTATTGTCCACCTTTTAGCTAATCCTAAACTATTGTTGTTTACAGAGAGCAGCATCTAAATGGGATATAAGTGAATTAAAGCTTAAGTCTGAATCATGCTCGTGACTTGCACTCAAACAAAATCAGTGGTTTAAAAAAATAAATAAAAGATGAAACACTCAACACATTTTCAGAGCCATAGCAAATCTAATTCTAATTTATAAATAAAACAACAAAATAAAGATGACACACAATCCAAAAATACTTAAAGAGCTCAATGTCACTGATGCTCAGGGCAGCGTGGAAGTCTGCAGTATTCTTCAAAACATTTCTTAAAGAAATCAAGTGATCATGAAAATACATCAAATAATTTTTGTGGTATTTTCTTCTGCTTATATATACACACACATATCCTTAAGAGACAGTTATCAGCAACAAAAATGGAGGTGGGAGACACACAGGCTGGGAGAAACCTATCAAAACACAACTGAGCTTCCCATTAAAAGTAATTTTTTCTTTTAAAAAAGGGTAGTTTTTAAAACACATAGTTTTAAGTTTTTTTAGAACATTATTCTAAAAGAATTCTTCAGCGAAAGATTGCTTTTTGGGCGACACCAAGACAGTGTCTTTGTCAAATAATTATTTGATAAAATATGTATCACATTACAAATAAGTCTGTACATCCTAAAATGAAGATTAAAAAAGCTAAATAGATACATACCAGCTTTATATGATATGGTGTTGGTTTTTGCCACAGATTTTTTATAACATAAATATA